GAAAGAGTTGAGCACGCACAGGCAGAAATGTTGAGAGCGCGAGCAACACATTGCGAGCGAGCGCAAATGCAAAAACTGAGCGAGAGGGGCTGCTGTTGTGTGTGTGTGGATAATAGCAAACACTGAAATACATTTTTGCAAGCAGCAATGAATTTTGTTCACTCAAATTTAGCTTTTCTTCTCTCAAAATAAATTTCTCCTCAAAATGCAACACTTGCACCTGCAATTTTTTTTTTACATGCGCTCAATTTTTTTTACGTGCGCTCAGAATAGTGGCCCTGAGAGGCCAAATGGACTGCAACTTAAGAAAACACCAGCAATAAGAAAAAAATGCTGCAAAAGCACACAAAACACAACGGAAATAGGAAAAAACACAAGGGAAGTGTTTCTGGGGAGACAATAACCCGACAGACCAGTTCCAGGAACCCAAAACATGGTAGGCGTGTTTTATCATGATTCATATAATACTGATGACGGATTTTTAAGCTAATAGTTAGTCTTACACACTTAGCTCTCATCTTTTCTTTCCTCACAAAACCGATAGATCCTCCACTTCTTTTAAGTGTCTCCCAGTGCAATTCTTAGCATATTTTGGTTCCTGCAGCTGGTCCGTCAGATCTCCCCAGAAACACTTCCCTTGTGTTTTTTCCTATTTCTGTTGTGTTTTGTGTCCTTTTGCAGCGTTTTTCTTATTGCTGGTGTTTTCTTAAGTTGCAGTCCGTTTGGCCTCTCAGGGCCACCGTACGAAAGATACAAATTTTGATGTCTTTTAAATTCCGCACAGGTGATGTATGTTGAACGTGACAAACAGTGAAAGATTGCATTTGCAGGGGGATAGTGAAATGCACATATAGTAACACAGAAAATCAAAAGAATGGGGATTTATAATAAGTGTTTTTAAAACATATATTAATAATTGTGGTATGTGTGACAATGTTCATGAAAAGTTTTTGTCCAGATTGGTCCACGTGTTAAGGGATAGATAGGGTACACAGACACATGTTCCTACACACATACACTACGATCATTATGGTAAAATTACTTTCTTTGTGAACCTCTTCTTTCTTTTTTGTCCAGACATACATAGGCAGCATTCTGGTATCTGTGAACCCCTATAAGATGCAAAACACCTATGGGACAGACATGGTGCTCATGTACAAGGGCTGTGCCTTGGGAGAAAACCCTCCGTAAGTTATTTTCACTCTAAAATTGTTGAACCGTGAACCTTATATTTAAAAAACAAAACAATAAATGTCAAATTATTAAGTATGTTTCATCCATGCTGACAGCTGTAAATAACTGTCAGCAACAGAGGATCAAAGTGCAGAAAGACGGAAGCAGAATACCTTGTTGCGCTTCCTTTAAGAGTCTGAAGGCTTGTTGTGTATCTCTTTCTCCTTCAGGCATTTGTTTGCCATAGCAAACGCTGCTCATTCCCAAATGATGGATGCCAAAAAAAAACAGGTCATAATAATCAGGTAAGGGGCTGACTCTCATTGTCTCTTCAGTCACTTTCTCTGTAAATATGAATCAGACAACAGAGACGTGCATGCAGTTAATTATACGGTGCATTGTATTTTTAACATCTGAGTCTTGCAATGTGAAGCTTTTCTTTTGTATCCTTTGATATATCATTGGTAACCTTTCAAGGTTGTCCGTGAAGCTTCTTGGTTAAAGGTTTCCATCTACAGATGGATTAGTGTTTGTAAATTCATGAGTGTCTGTCTGTGGTTTACTGGCCAGCAAACTTAAGATGGAGTGTTTTGCTCCATGTCAGAACTGATCTCTTGGAAGAAAAAACACACACACACACACAAACACACACACGCACATAAACCAGTGAAGTTAAATTTACCAACACTTGAGTGTGACTTCATTTAGTGGCTGCGCTCATCTGTGAAAACAAACACACCGACATCCAGAGGTTTGCACAAACATAGGTCTATGCTTTTGGATATGACAAAAGACACTCATAATATACACATAAACGCACACTCACACATGCACACGCCCTCACAAACCTGGAACACTTTAGCCGTATTCGGAAGGAGACACCTGTAAGGAAAGCCCAGCCAGGTCTGAGTTGGAGCAGGTTATGTTTCAGAGGTGTGTGTGTGTTCGTGTGTGAGTACATTTGTGCGGGCTGTGTGCTTGCAAGTGTGTCTTTGTGTTTCAGTTAGTATGTGTTAAGGGGTAACTGAGGTCTGGTGTACAGTGACCAATAATGGTCCTGTTTTTAGCTAAGCAGCCATTGAGCTGAAACCCTATGCTGGAATGCGGTGAAGGTGCCAGCATCCCTAAATGCACACACACACACACACACACACACACACACACACACACACACACACACACACACACACACACACTTTGGCCAAGCTCACATAATGGTGGTATTTAGTGCTTGGCAATGGTAGATCAATGGACCTGTGTGTACATGTGTGTGAAACTCTTTCAGGTGGTTTAATGCAAAAGTGGAACCGAAGCCTTGTCTAATGCAAGATTAGCCTTGTCTCACATCACTTAGTCAATTAAGTCAAACACTCTGCAAGCACCACCACAGAGGTGAAAAGGATCAAATAATGGACGCTCTAAATGATTTCTGGAAGTCCTGAGAAACTGTGCTCTAATTCAGGGTAATGTTCACACTTGGTGAGCTTTTCCTTGCATCAAACCTGTTTTTGTATTTCCACTAGTAGAATACAGATGATCAAAATAGTTCAGAGTTATTTTTGCCTACCATTAAAGAATATAATCTTTTACACTGCTCAAAAATAAAATGAACACTTTTTATTCAGAGTATACCATCAAGTTAGTTAAACTTCTGGGATGTCAGCATGACTGGTTTGGTGGTGGGTCAGGGATGGTCTGGGGGGGGCATATCCATGGAGGACACACCTCTACAGGCTAGGCACTGACACCATGACTGGCGTTACATATCGGGATGAAATCCTTGGACCCACTGATACACCCAACTCTGGTGCAGTGGATACTGGATTCCTCCTGCTGCTCAACAATGGCCGGCCTCATGTACCAAGAGTATGTAGGCAGTTCCTGGAGGATTAAGGATCTGATACCATTCACTGGCCCCCACGTTTGCCTGACCTAAATCCAATAGAACACCTCTGGGACATTATGTTTCAGTCCATCCGACGCTGCCAGACTGCACCTCAGACGGTCCAGGAGCTCAGTGATGCCTTGGCCCAGATCTGGGAAGAGATCCCCCAGGACACCATCTGTCTCATTAGGAACACCCCCCGACGTAGTCAGGCATGCATGGAATCATTTCTATCACTTGATGTGCCATCATTTCATTGAGCACATTGCCCAGTCCATATCTGTGTAGATATCAGCATCATTTCTTTCCACTGAGATCAGTGTTTCCAAAGTGTTCCTTTATGGAAATGGCACCTCATAATTAACCCATCATGGCTGTATAACAATAAAGCTTTTTGTATTTGTGCTTTGAAAAAGCACACACAAATTTTAAACATTAAAAACTGGGCATTGTAATGTTTCATAAGCTCAGTTTGTATGCACTAATATTCAAACTTTCCAGGTGCTGGTTATCTGAGGAAAAGTTGTCTCCAGCTCAGCTAAGCACTGGGGCAGTTCTTGATTGTTTTCATTGCCGTGTTGATGGGTTTTCTGTATTCCCAGTGAGACTCTGTTACTGTGTTTCAGTGGGGAAAGTGGGTCTGGAAAAACTGAGTCCACCAAACTCATCCTTCGCTACCTAGCAGCTGTACTTCACAAAACGAATCTTGCGCAACAGGTATGCACACACACTTCCTGACATGAATAAAGAACTGCCATCAGAGTTGGATATTTGCAAACTAAGACACTCAAAGTTTTCCTTCTTGTAATGACGACTAATGTGCTTGTGCATATTTTTTATTTGCCTGTATCTCCGGTGGCTTTCCTTGGGTGCAGATTGAGGTAGTTGGGGTTTTCTGCATGCTGCGTGTTTTATATTTTACAAGTAATTTTCATCAATGGCCATAAGAATATCAGGTTACTGTGTTTTGCCGTGGTGTGTTTTTCTATGATTCATTTGGCCAGACATTCCCACTGAAACAGCTTCTTTCCTGTGTGTTGTACAGTTACAGTTACTGGTCCCTTTATAAGGCGATCTGATAAAGGTTTATATATTGTTTGTGTGTTTGGCATCCCTGATAGATACTTGAGGCAGCTCCTCTTCTGGAATCTTTTGGAAATGCCAAAACCGTGCGGAACGATAATTCCAGTCGCTTTGGGAAGTACATTGAGGTCTTTATGGAGAAGTGAGTTGTTTTTTTTAAAAAAAGCAACAAGCAAAACTTTGACCTCTGCTCTGATCTCACTCCAGCTTCTTTTACTTCTGAAGCTGCTTCTTTTTCACGTGTGTTTTCTGATTCCTTGTTTTCCCAGTGGTAGGATCAGTGGTGCCATAACCTCTCAGTATCTGCTGGAAAAATCCCGCATCGTCTTTCAGGTGAGGCAAGCTGACACAAAGGTCTCGATAGCTTGTTTATTTCTGTATATGGAAGTGTCGCTGTAAACGTGCCGCGTGTGCTTCAGGCCAAAAATGAGAGGAACTATCACATCTTCTACGAGATGCTCGCAGGTCTTCCTTCGCAGCAGAAGCAGGCCTTCTATCTACAAGAAGCTGAAACCTACTATTACCTCAACCAGGTAGAAGATAGTTTGATCATCATCATTGTCAGTGATTTTGGGTCACGACCCTTCCAAAAACCCTTCTCGGGTCACATTTAGCACTGCTGGTCTTCTCGTTCTGCACACAGGGAGAGGATTGTGGGATAAAAGGGAAGAACGATGCAGAGGACTTTCTACGTCTGCTTTCTGCCATGGAAATCCTTCACTTCACTGCGGATGACCAGTCGTCCATCTTTAGAGTCCTGTCTTCCATACTGCACCTGGGCAATGTTTACTTTCAGAGGCATGAGGTGTGAATTATTTTATTTCTCAGGTTTTTCTCGTATGTCATCCCTTTTTTAAAAGTTTGATTAATATAATAATAAGGTGCAAAGTGTTCAGTCACCTAGACTAATGAGTTAAATTCTAAAATAAACTAAACTTTATCAGGACAATAAAAACTATGTAAGATAAGCAGCAAAGATTTTCCCACAGGTAATTCTTCTTTTCTTTTTTCTTTTCTTTTTGCATTTCTATTTTCCTCCTGAACTGCAGGCTGATGGCCAGGAGGTGGCGTCAGTGGTTAGCACTCAGGAGATCAGAGTAGTCGCAGAGCTGCTGCAGATCTCACCAGAAGGACTACAGAAAGCCGTCACCTACAAAGTCACAGTCAGTATCAAACCGTGTCCCGTCTGCATGTGCACTGATGTTCTGTCTTTTGTTCGTTCAGTGCTTGAAAACAACAAGCATAGCACTGCAGTCTGTGACATTCCTGAACCTGGAGGTGATTTTTCTACATTGTCAACAGGAAGGTGATGTGGCACTATGCCAGCGTTTCTACCTTACTTACACAGCTGTGGTTACATTAAAGGCATTGTATCGCCCAGAGTGTCGCTCACGCAGACACAAAGGAGACACATGTGTTGATGCCACACACAGAGTGAAAGAATGAAAGACAAGAAAGAGGCAAACTGCTGTCATCGACCTGCTTGGATGGTTCTTTTCTCATTCTGACCTCCTCTGGTCGGTTATTAGGATCGTTTCTATCCAAGCTGACTATTTCTATAAAGCAGGGGGTTTTGTGGAGTATATGGTTATCAATTCCAATGACCCATGTCATGTTTTTCAAAGGGAATTTAAATATACTGGAGTGCAAAACATTGGAAGATACTTTGTTTATGTTTGCGTTTTAAGGCCTTAAACAGAACAATGAATTTAGAAGTGAAAGAATTGAAAAACAAATCAAACATGTGCATATAGCAGCCTGTAAACTAGGAGAGCCTTCAGCATTTGTGAAGGAGGTGCATGATTATTTATCGAAAGACTTCACTGCTGATTTAGTTTAAATCTAGGACAGCTCATAGCTCTGTGTAGTGCAGGAGAGTGACTCAGTTTATCAAAGATTTATTGGAGGAGTCTGATTAAAATTGTTCCCTTTTTTAAAAATTCCTTTATTAAGAGCCAAACATTCAACCCAGTAACTTTTTTGACCCAGCTGATAAACTACCAGCAAAATGGCAGACATCCTCAAGTGAATGTACAGCATGAAAAAAAAAGTCTAAAACTGAGTTTTGCAAGTTTAGCTTTTACCTTTGTTGGTGTATTAGTGGTATTCAAATAAATGCAGATGTGCCTTTGATAGGTCACTTTTAATGATCTGTATCACTTGCACATGGTGAAAACAAGACTTTGCAGCATTATACACAAACAGCACAATTTGATTAAGCTCTTGACATCATTGAGGAGGAAACGTCTCTCACCAGGACCAAGATCAGGAAGGGCAGCCATCTGCCTCAGCCAGTGAAGGTAAAAGGGGCAAAAAAGTATGATGCACAGACAATATATATAAAACAAAAAAAAAAAACAAGAACGGGTCAGTCTAAATTAATTCAGTTCTATTCAGTTTTATTTTATATATGGATCAAATCACAACAGTTGCCCCAAGACACTTTATATTGTAAGCTAAAGACCCTAAAATAACACAGAGGAAACAGAGAACAACAATAACCCTCTGTTAGCAAACACTTGGGAACAGTGGGAAGGGAAAACTCCCTTTTTACAGGAAGAAACTTCCAGCAGAAAGAGCCTCAGGGAGGAGCAGCCATCTGCTGTGACCGTTTGGGGACAGGACAAAAGACAGACTGTGGAAGAGAGCCAGAGATTATTAATAACTAATCATTAAATGGAGACTCCTAAAACGAGTGACTGAAACCATCAACTCAGCAGGAAATTGTATAGAGTGGTCAAGTCAGAAAGTCCTCTTTCTCATAGGCCTCTATAGGTCTGAATGTCTTTTTTACAGCCATCTGGTGGTCTGCAGTTAGAATGCAATTTGAGGGCACTTCCACACTGGTTTCATTTTTCCAACCCAGAACAGGAGGCAGCCCACAGCGCTGGAGACTCGCAAGGGGGAAAGTATGAATGTAAACGGCTGCACACATCCACACATCCTCGATACATCAGAGGACACAGAAAAAATTCATATACAGTATTTAGACTGAGCTATGCTATTTTAAAAGGGAAAGCATCTTTTTACTTCTTTTATTTTTAGTGTGCCGCAGAGATGAACAGCCAGATTCAGCTTATAGCTCCAGGGCGTGAATCTGTCAGTCATGCTTTTGTTGTGATTTCAACTTTTTATGCTTCTGGTTTTTGAATCTAACCAGCTGGGAATCCTCTTTGTCCAAAGAACGCGGTTACTTATTTCCACGAGGCTTTGCTGTTTGCATCTTAGTGTCTTCATTTCTATACCTTACACATTCTCCTGCATAAAGAAGAAATGCTGTTTTGTTTTCATGTGAACTTTCTTGAGGTCCATTGAATTCAAACTGGGACAGGATGGTAAATTGGTCATTTTTTTATGCTCTGAAAGAACTTCTTTAAAAACAGTAAACAGTTAGGTGGTGACAATTTTAAAACCTAGATTGTTTGCAGTACAAATAAGTAAATTTGGTTCCATTTTTCCTTATTGTTGCCCACATGGTCAAGTGTGATTAAAAAACAAACTATTTTTGTTATTAATTCCAAACTAACCCAAACTGGGTGTGGAGAAGTGTCACAATACCAGTAAGTATTAAAACCAGAGAGCATAAAAACCTTTGCAGAAGCCTGGCTTTACTTGAACTTATCTCCTTTATTATTTTAAAGCAGCATAAGAGATTTCACAGCTCCAGAAAGTTTGATGGAGCTTTTGAAGGAACTGTCAGTGTTAACAGCGCAGTTAAAGGACTTGCACGTGACTTACGATAGCCAAAAAAAGAGAGGATCCTCCATCGCATTTGCTATTCTGTTATCCTTAATTACCGGTACTTGAGCTATTGATGTGGTCATTATCATCCAGCTAGGAAATAAAGTGAATCCATACCAAATCCAGGAAAGGAACAATTAAAATATCCCACTGTCCATACAAGTGTTCCAGTTGGTCATCCACCTATTTGTGTATTTCCTTGTTTGCTTAATTTCCATCATATCCATGAAAAAAGTAGGAAAAAAAACATATTTTTTTTGTTAAGCAAAGTATTTCTCCTCTTAGTATTTCCTTTTTTGGATCCATTTTCTTTTATGTGTAAGTGTCCAGTAGTTTCTCTGTCCGGTTTAAGGGCTGATTCAACTCGTCCTGACCCCTCTGGTGCTGCCTCTGATGAGGAATGAGGGTGATGGGAGAATTAAAAGAGAGAAACATCTAATTATCACCCACCTTATATCTTCTACATACACATGCTCCTATACACTAACCAAGGACCTTTTGTATAATTGAATTCCTAATTACAAAGGTGCCTGAGTAACAGGAGAGGGGTGAGTCGTACCCACTCATTTCCTCTCACTGGAGGAATCATGTGTACACATTAGTGTCTTTGTGTGAGCGCACACGTGTGTGTGTGTGTGATAATTAAGTGTGTTTAGGCAAGAGAGGGTCTCAAGTCTCAAAGCATTCTTTATCTGATCAGATCTCAAGTTTAAGACACCCGAATCAATGAATAAGAGAGTAGAAGGAAGGGAAGAGCTGAAAGGATGCAAAGGAGTGGATACAAATATAGGAAAAGAAGTTAAATAGGAAGCAGTTCAGTAAAAACAAAGGGTGAAAAGCCTAACTCTTCAGCCCAGAACTTATGGCGTCCTGTTGTGATTCTTCAATTGCAGAAGAAAAAGTTCTGCTTCTATAAAATATATATTACAGTGCAGGAAAAAAAAAGGAAAAACAGGCTGGAAGAAGCAGGAAGCAGGTGGAGGATAAGACCACCTGATCTGTCAGCCCAAGATGAGAGCCTCACCACAGTTACTGAACAGGCACCAATGAGGGGCACATTAGCAGGAAATTTGGGTGCAATTCCATTTTTAATTTGAACTTAAAGCCTTTCAACTTCAAACCAAGATGAAAGGAGGCTTGAGACTCTATATTATCAGGTAGACGTCTGCGTAAAACGTGCTGACTTAATGTTTTTTCACAGGAAACAATGAGGGACAAGATCTACACCCCTCTGAGTGTAGAAAGTGCTATTGATGCCAGGTGAGAGACAGTTACACACAGAACATGCCGTGCATAAAAAATCATTACATTTATTACCGTTAATTTATTTAAATAACATGTTTGCATCTTTATCATTATGTATGCATGCACACTAATACATGTGCACTAAATTACTAACACATATGCAATCTTAAAATCCCTTTTGTCTTAAAGTTTTACCTAATAAAATTCTTGCTAATAACAATGCATATGTTTTCTTTCTCCTTTTTAATTTCTTATATCATTGTGTCACTCGCTGCCCACCACTCACACACATCCAGAGATGCTGTTGCCAAGATCCTATATTCGCTGCTCTTCCACTGGTTAACAGAAAGGATCAATGGTCAGGTGTACCCTCACCAACACACCCTCTCCATCTCCATCCTGGACATTTACGGATTTGAGGTAACGGAGCCTTGTTGTATGTTTGACCTTAAACCCCTCAGAAAAAACTAGAATGCAATGAATCCTTAGTAGGTTCTAAAATTATTTTAAACTTAATCACAGATGAATAACAGTGCATGATATATTGCACCTTGTCATTATTTATTTAATAGTTATTAAGCCAAAAGGCAGAGGCAGCTTTACTTCTTCTATAGGAATTATAGGAATGCTACTTTCAGCTGCTCCTTTGCCACATGGGGTCGTCGCAGCCGGCAGCTCTACGTCTTTGATTCATTAGAGTTTTGCACCAGATACCCTTCATGACACCACCCCAAAGGGGATTTGTGGCTTTGGCTGGAATTGAAGCAGCAACCTTTCACTCACACTACATCATGAGAATGCTTAGTCACAAGTGGAAAGTATTAAAAACTGCTGCCAATCGACACAGGAGTGAACGACCCAGCAAATTCGCCCTGAGGTCATACCGTGCAATATTCAGAAAAACTGCAAAAACCCAAGAGCTCCATCTCAACTCTACAGGCCTCAGTTAGGATGTTGAATGTTAAAATTCATGACAGTATAGTTATAAAAAAGACTGAACAAGTGTGGCCTGTTTGGAAAGGCTCACAGAAGGAAGCCTCTTCTCTTAGGACAGTTTAGGTGTGCAAATTTGCGGTGCACAAGCAGCTTATCAACACAAACACCTGATACCAGCTGTTAAACATGTGGTGCAGGGGTGATGATTCGGCTTGTTTTCCAGCCACGGGGCCTGGACGCCTTACAGTTACTATGTTGACTATGAACTCCTCTGTATACCGAAGTACTCTAAAGTCAGATGTAAGACTGACAGCTAAAGCTAAAGCATTTGAAATAATCCGTCGCATTCCCAGTAATGCAGTCAAAGCTTTTATTGACATAACTTATAACTATAAGAGAAAAGATTCAGATTATTATCAGCAGGGAAGGAAGGAAGGAGGGCTTAACAATGTTGCACGTTAAAGATACTCAGAGGATAATCACTTTGTAGGCATGATGATGAGACAGAATTACCATAAGAATTACCATATATGTGTATGTGTGTGTGTGTGTGTGCGTGTGTGCATGTGTGTGTGTGTGTGTGTGTGTGTGTGTGTGCTAACCACAATTGCACCCTATTTCACCTCGCTTCGAGCAGCTTTGCATTAATTATGCAAACGAGTACCTGCAATTCTTCTTTAACAGGATCGTATTCAGAGAGGAACAGGTGAGTCCACGTCACACTTCCCGATGAAAAGCACACACTCACGCACTTGTCCTATAACTATTGAGGACAAAAAATGCACATATTTGAGGCATCATATGCACGCAAATGGTTTTCATTAAGTGTAGATTAGTGGCATATAAACATGTGAATCCTTTGCTTAATTCAGGCATTGGCAACTTTCAACATCAAAACAGCCATTTTACCTCCTCCTACCAAACAGCAGGAGTAAAAGAGCAGCACTTGGGGGATGAGGGATAGACGGGTGGATGACAGATGTAACTGGGGGAGGATAAATGAATGTATTGCATATAGTATATGTATTAATAGGTAACCCTAACCTGTCCCTCATGAGCTGCAGGTTGCCAACATCTGGCTTAGGTAATAATGCAACTAATATTTTATGATCTTTTATGTGATCCTCTTGCAGGAGGAGTACAGCAGGGAGCAGATCCCATGGCAGGACATCACATTCAACGACAACCAGCCCTGCATCGACCTCATTGCCGCTAAGCCTCATGGGATACTGAGGATTCTGGATGACCAGAGCGGTTTCCCGCAGGTGAGGATGAGGAGGAAGTACTGACAGATTTTCAGATTCCTTATATGGATTATAAAACTGGGACTTTTGGTGTGGTAATTTGTTGACAGGCAACAGACAACACTTTTCTTCAGAAGTGTCACTATCACCATGGCAGTAATCCACTGTACATGAAGCCAAAGATGCCGGTCCCAGAGTTCACAATTAAGCATTTTGCCGGGCGGGTCACTTACCAGGTACTAAGCTCCTCACTGAGATTCTCTTGGCTAGTTTCATTGTATTATAATTCATTGAAGTATTGAAAATGTGGTGAACTGTAATGACAAACAGAGTGATCATCTGTCACTGATGCAGGTTTACAAATTCCTGGATAAGAACTACGATCAGGTGCGTCAGGATGTCCTGGACCTGTTCATTCAGAGCAAGAACAAGGTCGGCTTGGTCTTAAAACTTAATCTAATCAACACAATCGCTAAGCAATGTTTTTGTAAAGTCTGTATTAATCTGTGCATTTGTGTGTTTCCAGATGGTATCAAACCTCTTCCTGGTTCATGCAGAGGCCACGGGTCAGCAGAGAGGTCACATAAGGAAGAGCAGCACAGTCACCAGAAAATACCAAGCTCCCACCGTCAGCAGCAAGTTTCAACAGTCCCTGCTGGAGCTGGTGGAGAAGATGGAGAGGTGAAGTACACATGTTCTCTCTCAGATCATAATTGGTTTTTATTGTTTTCATTAAAAAAAAATTATCATGTTTTTGTTGTTCCATTTCAGGTGCAATCCTTATTTCGTTCGCTGCATTAAGCCAAATAACATGAAGGTATATCTTGAAGCGTCATATATCTAAAGTTATTTACCTGCACATACATTAGTGTTTCTGAGCTTTTGGACACCTGTCTTTAGCAACCAGGTGTGTTTGAGGACGAGCTGGTGAACAGCCAGCTGCGGCACTCTGGTGTCATGGAGACCATTAGGATCCGCAAAGAGGGATATCCAATCAGAATGCCATTCTATGTCTTCCTGTTCAGGTAACATGAACTCTGATCCTCAGCGTATTTGTTGAGTTTGTGAAGCTGTTCAGGACTTTGTGTTCCCAAAAAAATGAAGATAATTGAACTCACAGCTGAGGCAGAGGAGAACCTTCTATAACAGAAAATCCCAGCAATAACTGAGCAGACCGCGAAGTGGCAACTCATAGTTGATGCTCTTCTGATTTGCAAATATCGCATGTCATGCCTTATTTAAGCTACTTCAACTGGTCCACAGTTGCACGTGCCTCTGCAAGTCACTTTGCAACCCAACTTTAACTAATTTTCTTCTTCTCATGCTTTGTCTGACTTAATCAGTGTCATAGCTGCTGTCATTGCGCTGCTCTTTGGTGGGGTCTTGCTGCTGCCCTCCCAGTACAAAGCCATGCCACCAAAGTTTAAAATTTGAATTCATGTGTAACTTTGTTTATGGTGTTGTCTTATTTGGCAAAAAAATGAACTATGGAAGATTCTGTAACCACAACCATAAAAGCACACAAAAAGAATATTTCACACAATATACATTGACTATAAGGACACGTACACATTGTACCTACAGGAGCCTTTATTACATCCCATTATAAATCCACAGCCATTCATAATGTGTCTGTTAATGCGTCCATAATGCGTTTTCCTTCCTCCACCAAATTTTACAGTTGGCACAATGCAGTTTGGTGTTCAAACCCAGACTCATCCATCAGACTGCCTGATAGAGGAATGTGATTTGTTATGCCACAGAACAATTTTCCACTGCTCCAGAGTTCAGTGGTGGCATGATTTACTCCGCCTAGCACTTGGCATTGTGTCTGGTGATCTAATGCTTAAAGCATGGCCTTCAGCTATGGAGAGCCATGAAGTGAAGCTGCCAGTACTCCAAAAGCTTTGGTGTAAGTTGGCGACCCTGCTCTGTAACTTTGCATGGTCTGAGCTACTTTGGCTCCTAAACAATGCAACTGTTAAACAACAGTTTAACAGCTGATCGTGACCCAATACCTCTGTCCATATTACGTGTCTGAATTGCGACACAGTCAGTATCGATTTATATCAGTACTTCTTTTTTAAAAATCACTATTATCGACTGAGCACCCCTAATTTGAATGTGTGTCTCTGTCAGGTACAAGTCCCTGGCGGGGATACAGACACTTCCTGTGGCAAATGGAGAGAACTGTGTGTTGTTGCTCGGTAAACTGTGTCCTCTCCGACCAGGAGCCTACCATGTTGGAGTCACAAAGGTGAGCTTGTTCACATTAAGCCTCACAGTTAAAGACAGACCCAGCACCAACTGCTTGTCTAATGGCTGAGTAGAGATTGTTTTCCTGCTTTGTAGCTTGAAATTTGAGATACTATGGTTTGTTGGATCAATGTTATATCTTTTTTTTTTTTTTT